GGGGGGGGGGGGGGAGGCGATTGGAATCAATCGTCATTCTTGAAATTTTCACGCGACCACTCCTGACCGACACGTAAATCTCCGCTTTCTCGTAGGAAACATTCTAATTCTGAAGCCTACTTCACCCGTGTACCTTTGCCACAAAAGAAAACGGAAACACAGAGGTACGAACGAAAGAGGTAGGATCTCACCGTCTCTGGCATCATTCGACTTGTGTCTCCTCGAAAGTGGGAGAAAACGACGGCCGTCGTCGCCATTCTGCCGCTGACGATGACTGGAAAAGCCCTGCCCGCACCGCTGAAGGACTGCAGCTTCCAGAAGATATCCCGGGGGTGGACGATACCCAGCCGGTTCATTTTAATAACCACCTTCATAGAATAGGAAAGAGATGTACTATATCTCGTACGAATATGAAGATTTTTTAAATACCTCACTGGGAATTCACTAGCAGTTAAAAAGTTTTTTGGGGGGTGCCACCTTGTTGGAAGTTTAATTGAATGAAAGCGAGTACAGACAAATCTGACGATCAGACAAGAGCAATTTTATAACGCTTGAGAATATGAGGGAAGTAGACGATGAAGGATGCGACGGCGAACGCGGCTGGGACGGTGACGACATCTCGCGGAAGGAGAAGCAACGGCGGAACGGTTTCCCGAATCCCCATTAGGCCGCGAAGCAATCGGCAGCCTGGCCTCGCTCTTCCGAGTGATGTTCCGCGGCCTTCAAACGCTGCTGCTTTTCTTCTATTCCTTAGCGACTTGCCTTTTCACTCTATTTTTGGCATGTCGTACTCCTTTTAGGGATGTTTTGCGTCTGATCCTGAACTCCTGGAAATAGTGGATTCAAACCGCAGTCTTAGCTTGAGGGTAGCTCAACTTAACCCTTTCACTGCCGAGGACTTAAAATGCCCATCCAACCTCTCCTTGCCTAGCATGGCAGTGGAGGTTCGTCGCACTGAACATGCCATATGGCGTGTACGGCAGTGAAAAGGCAAAGCTTAACTCTTAGCTTAACCGTAGTCTTAGCTGAGCTGAAGTGAAGTAAAAAAACAGAAGATTTTCATTAAAAGTGCGAAATCACATCAACTAAAGTCATGGAAGCCATCAGAACCTCCATGGATCAGAACCGATCAGTTTTTGAGGTCACACAGGTAAAATATTGCGGAATGATCTCGCAGGAAGGCCTACCGTCTGATACTAACTCGAGCGAACAATGTTTCCGGATGGTAAGTGAGAAGGCACCTAAGTCGCCGTCCCTGCGGAAGGATTCTCCTCGTGATTTTTCCCGGATGACGCCCCACCCTCAACGAATTTCGCTCGGAAAACGCTCCAAACCTTTTCTTGGCACAAGTTATGAACGCGTTAAGTGGGTAAAATTTCAACAGATGATTGAAACGTTTTGCTCCAGTTTGCCCGTAAATTCCATCTGATTTTTGACGCTCGTGAGTGTTGCCTGATTGCAAATATTCATTAGGTTTCTTAAGAAATCGAGAACACGAGATTTTTTTTCCTTGCAAGTCGACTTTGTGTTCCTCCGTGCCTATCTAATACAGTCATTCTTCATCACTCATTCTGTCCGATGATTTCGGTTTTGGTTCGGTTCTATGAAATGCGTGAACGGCTGTAGTTGTAGTTGAGCCTGTATCGCGCACGGATCGCGATTATTGCGTGGAGCGAAAAAAGAGGTTTGCAATCGCGAAAACGCAAACGACGAATGACTAGAGGAGATGCGGCCCAATAGAGGGATTCTCGGAGTCACATGCATGAAATACGGGGAATCTCACGAATATCATTACTCCTCAGCGTTCCTGACTGCTGACCGCCTCGACCTGCCTGAAATCTGGTGAGGTCAAAAGGCACCACCTGAAGAGCAGCCTTCGCGATCGCCGTCAGACTGCTTCTGGGAGCTTGCACGGGTGGGAAACCCCTTTTTTTTCCCAACGGTTTTTAACTAAATAAAGGTCTCTATGATCTTTTGACCTATTACCTTGTTGAGTTCATTACTTTGTCATGGTTCACACAGGATCTTTAGGCTAATGGAGCCTCAGAAATCTCTTATTACTTTCGGGTTTCTTCGAAATGAAACTTCCCTTTGATGTTAGCGTTTGGAATGAGATGACTTCGCTGAGATAGGCGCGCGAACCCAAGTTTATCCCGAAGCTGAAATGCATGCCGTCATCGTGAGTCACGCCCGAAACGCGTGACCATTTAATCACATATGACTGCCGGACGTGATGGGAACGCAGAGGCGGGGCGATCGACCCTCATCGTCGTCGGGCCATGTTTGGCTTCGCGGCTGGGAGATCTAAGAAAACTGATCTGTTCTTGCTACTTTTTTTTCGTCAAGTAAAGCGTAACCCTTTCAATGTGGACAATGGAACCTGGTTTATTGAGGCAACAATAGGGCGATAACCTCTTTTGTTACAACAACTTGTTCGCCTATTTCTCCCTGCCCCTATATCCAGGACGATTCTTGCTTTGTACTAGTCAGAGTACTGCTTCGCTTCAGTCTCAGAGATGGCCCAAGAGTGGGTGACGTGGATGAAATCTTTGCTAGGCTCGAACGGCCTTCACCTCGATAAAGCCAGAAGAACGCGAGAGCCTCCGATTGCGAATGAGTCCCTTTTTTCCCTCCCCATCCTCTTCCCTGGCATGAGGCAACGGGGTGTTTCGTTTCAGCCAATCAGCGACCGTTTCCACAGCGACGTCAGCGAGGACGCAAGCATGGAGATCGGCATTCCTCTCTCTCCGACGTCCTGCGGAGTCGTAGGGGATCTGCCATTAGAGATGGCGTCTCCCGTGCTCAAGTGGAAGCGTGTGACGAACACGACTGGGCCGTGTCCCAGGCCTCGACATGGACACAGAGCAGTTGCCATCAAAGATCTGATGATCGTTTTCGGGGGAGGCAACGAAGGAATTGTCGACGAGCTACACGTGTATAATTCAGGTCAGATTTCTCTGCTTTCATTGACTCGTGTTGTCTCCTTAAGTGGGTGGTTGGAAACCACTCGACAGTCTATTATTATGTGGTAGTCAAATTGGGATTATGCTGAAAACTTCAAAACAAAGCAGAGGCATGCGATATATCAGAAGTTGCTCGATTTCAGGCCTGCCCCTTTCAACAGCTTTTTTAACCGGGGGAATTTTGCGTGTGTGTAAGTCACCATGTTGGATTTTCCAACCTTACCAGCCAATAGGAATCTTCCTTTTCCAATTTGGACCTTTAGAAGTGGGTTGAGTACGGCTTCTGATTGGCTAAAAGTTCTAAGAGAAACAGGGCCGCTCCCAGCATACCGCATGATCCTTTCACATCGAGCCCAAAAATTTACCGGCTACTACAGTGTTTATCACTTCAGTTAGATACTTTTTCACTTGACTTCGCCACATGCATGAGGAACGCCCCATGCACGTGTGTCTGAGTCAAATGAAAAATTGTCTAACTCAAGTGAAAAACACTAAACGCCGCGGACTGGCCCGTTTTAAAGGAGACGGTTAAGTTGGCAAGAGCGTTCGCCAAGTCAGTTGCATTTATGCCTTGTTAATCACTTCTTATATTTGCTAAAGGGCAATTCACAAAAGGAACTGTCTGGTAGTGATAAGCATCTGAAAATGTAATATCTTTAACTCTTGGTCAGTAGACTTAGCCCTAATCAAGAAGACATAAGATTCCAAAAGCAGTATAGTTTCAGCCAATTTTTTTTTTGCAGTTTATTCACTATCTGTAAATTTGCCTTTATTGAATCTTTTCTCTGTTGTTCAATCCCTAAGTGGAAGATAACAATGAGGAAGGAGTATTGTTTCTTGAAATTGGGATTCAGAAAATGAGTTTGTAACAGGTGCAATGTCATTTTTAGGAGATGGCCAATGGAAAAGCATGAACCATTTGAGGATTAAGAAAAAAAAGCAAGCTTTTAGTGTTACCTGCTCATGAAGTATGCTCTGAATATCTCGTAGATCTCTGTCAGATGAATGTGCTTTGAAGGAAGAGCCTGGGTTGACTTAGTGTTCATTTACTCTCCTCTGATGCCTACTTATTTCTGTCAGCTGTACTGCATGTCCACCGCCACATCCTATGGGCTTATAGTGGAACAAGGGAAGTTGATTAAGCACTGATGTTTGTCCTATCTTTACCTTTCCCCCTCCCTCACCCCCTTACCTTTCCCATCCTTATGCCATCTGGTCTTCCATTCAAGCCACACACTTTATGCAAGAGGTGGTTGTATGTCTTCACATAACTGAGTGGCTTAGTGTTTTCCAAGTCTCAGCAAAAAAGGAATAACACACTTAGCAGAGATTGCAAAGGACTCATGATATATTAGTGTTAACAAAGTTGAAATAGACTAGCAGAGAACCTGAAGAAAGAAGTAACTTTTTTTTTTTAGCCTGGTTTTTCAGACATTTTCCATGTGCACTCTGAGACGTCAGAATGAAGGGACATCTTAACCTGGGATGGCATTGAACCGGGCACTAACATTGGGGATTAGTAGGCCTACTCTACACTTTGTGAATATAGGGGAATAGTGTACACAAGACAAAGTCTGCGTTGTGGGGGAGTGTTCACATAACGAAGGATACCTGATATTTGTGTGTGACATATTAAATCATGTTACTTGGGTATGTTTGATTCCTCCCTAATGAAAAATTTCGGACTCTTAATGAAACTTGTCTAAATCCTGTAGAAATAGATTCCAGGTGTAACACAGTTTCCTTTCCCACAATTATGAAGATTTTTTAATTGCAGCTGCAAACCAGTGGTTCATCCCACCAGTCAAAGGAGATATCCCACCAGGATGTGCTGCTTATGGCTTTGTTGTCGATGGCACCAGGATCCTTGTCTTTGGAGGCATGGTGGAATATGGAAAGTATTCCAATGAACTCTATGAACTCCAGGTAAACTAAGCTTGAATATCTTTAAGTCTCTTGTTTCAGTCTCATTTCATTCAGTCTCACTCTGCTATTTTAAGACCAAGATTGTGCATATCAAGATCAGGTGAAGCTAAAATGAAAATAAGTAAATAAATTGAAAAGTTCTACCTGCAGGCTTATACTGTAGGTAAAAGCACACTGCAAGCTGTTTTTGTTGTACTATCTCACTTTTGGGTTTTATGTTTTTTATTTTTATATTATAGGCTTCCTAGGAAACTCTTAATGTTGTAATACCCACATTTCCTTCATGCAGGCAAGTCGATGGGAATGGAAGCGATTGAAGCCAAAACCTCCTCGGAATTCTCCTCCTCCGTGCCCTCGTTTGGGCCACAGCTTCACTTTGATTGGAAACAAAGTGTACTTGTTTGGAGGCCTGGCCAATGATAGCGATGACCCAAAAAACAATATTCCCAGGTGAAACTATATATTTGAAGTTTTCCATAATTTGTCCTCCCAAGTATAAATTTTGCCTGTAAACCTGCTTAAATGTGTAAAATGAGCTAGCCTGCTCAAATGTTGTGTGTGAGATGCTATGCCAGGTTTGATTACTTCCACAGCATGTAAACATTATGATTACTGTTTATCTTTTGCAGGTACTTGAATGACCTTTTCATTCTGGAGCTGAGACCTGGTTCTGGTGTTGTTGGATGGGACCAGCCAGAAACCCACGGAATTCCACCACCACCCCGTGAGTCCCACACTGGTGTGGCTTACTGTGGATCAGATGGAAAACAAAAACTTGTCATTTACGGTGGCATGAGTGGATGCCGACTTGGTGACCTTTGGATTCTGGACATTGGTAAGGGACCATTACCAATTGCCTTTGATCTTTTGTGAAGTGCCTCAAGGAAACTGTTTTTGCATATGAATGCAGAGTCCATGACATGGAGCATGCCAATGGTGTATGGGATCCCTCCACTGCCACGTTCATTACACAGTGCAACACTACTTGGTCCAAGGATGTTCGTATTTGGTGGATGGGTTCCTCTTGTTGTGGATGATGTCAGGGTCGGAACACATGAGAAAGAGTGGAAGTGTACCAACACCCTTGCTTCTTTGAATCTCGGTTAGTGCTCCAGCAAATGGCTACAGCATGAGTATTTATTGCTTGTGCTATCAAAGCCTTGTGAAATTTTTGAGAATTCCTATGTCTTGGTCATGTATGACAATCTTTGTTTTGGAACCCATAGAAACAATGACCTGGGAGCCTCTGGCAATGGAAGTGTTTGAAGAATCCCTCCCAAGAGCCAGAGCTGGCCATTGTGCAGTTGCCATTCACTCTCGTCTCTACATATGGTCTGGTCGAGATGGATACCGCAAGGCCTGGAATAATCAGGTTTGCTGCAAAGACCTGTGGTTTCTGGAAACTGAAGTCCCCCCACCCCCAACTCGGGTTCAACTGGTCAAAGCCTCGACAAATTCCCTGGAAGTCTGCTGGAATGCTGTTCCAACTGGTGAGTTTTAGACTCCACTTCTCTGACAACAAAATTATCTCTCATATAACTTTTGAAAGAAAAAAGTGAAAACTTCCTGCAAAAGATAATGACTCAATGTTTCTGGGTTTTGGGGAATAGCTGAGGCATACATCCTCCAGGTTCGAAAGTACGAGGTACCAACTGCCACGGGAGCTTCACCACGGGTTCCAGCTGCAAATCCACCTGCAATTGCACCCAAGCCAATGGCTGCCTCTTCTCCCATGGTTTCTCCAGCAAAAGGTAAAGGTTTCTAAGACTAATATTTCAGAACAATTTGTGAAATAGGAAAATGGTATTGGATAAAGTATGCTTTCACCATTTTTAAAATTCCATTAATTCCTTACATACAGCTGGAGGAATGTCTGGCATTGCTGCATTGGCTGCAGCTGCAGCAGCAACACAAAAGCTGACAACTGGGACCCCAGGTATGGTCAGTCCCATCACAACAGTGACTGGCACAACACCACGGCTCAAGATCTTGCAACAGCCAACAATTGTTACCCCACAAGGTGTCAGGGTGACACCAGTTCAGGGAGGAACTGGTAAGAGTAAAAATCCAGTAGCTGAAAGTCTATGATGTGGTGGTGGGATTCTTCATAACGTAGAGGTTTCTGTTTGATTGGAAGGTGCTCAAACAGTGAGGCTGAGTTCTCCTGGTTCTGCAGTTTTGAAGACACCACAGGGAACAGTAGCAAGTGCTGGTGTGATGGGGCCTGCTGGGAAGCAGCAGATCATTGTCCAAGGATCAACTGCCCAGGCCATACAAGTCCAGGCAGCCCAAGCTGCAAAGACTGTGGCAGCCTCTCAGGGAGGTGCCAATCAACCCCAGATAGTCACTTTGGTGAAGACCAGTCAAGGGATGACTGTTGCAACAGTGAGTCCATTTTGTAGTTTGCAAAGGTGTGGAAGCAGTCAGATTCTATGGGCATTCTCGAGGGTTCTCATATAGAGAAAAATCCCACTGGGATCTTTTGATTTTTCATTGGGGTCCTTGTCAAATCCATGCTTGACCTGGAGAACATGTGGTCCTGGTGCATCTTCCTCTTCGACTTCATCATAATCAGGGTCCTCTATGATGCTGGGCTGGGAGTTGGGGTGGTTTTTTCGTTGCCTCATTCCTTCACAGTGAAAGGAGTTGCTCCGCTTATTTCCATCAGAATGTTTATGCTGTTGATATTTCTTTTTAAGATGGAATAAAAGCACTGTAAGTAGGGTTGCTAGAATAGCAGACACTGCAATCACCCCCACAATGATTGCAGTCTTTATCGCAGAGGGAATAAGCTGAGTCTGTTGTAGATCAGGATTCTGACCTGCTAGAGGCCTCAATTTTTTCCCAACAGAATGAATAGTAGTTACTTCTTGGGAGTTGTTCTCCCCAGGACTTCCAGTTGCTGCATCTGAAGTATTCATGCCTGAATCAATATCATAAACCGAATCCCAAGTTTTAATTTCTGCATTTGCTTTGGAAGTGGATGTCAAAGCATTACTTTCATGAAGGGTGGTAGTACCTTCATCAAATACAGGCCATGTTTTAAGATTGGTCATAATGGGAGGCCTGCAGATGCTGCAATCACAATAATGGGCATTCATGGGGCAATCGTTAATTCCTGTCCCTGCCCTTAGGTCACCCTGACAAGGGCAGCTACCAAAGAACTCATTTGTATTAACAATCATTGTAGCATTCTGGAGGTTTATCAGCTGGATTGAATATGGTGAATCTATTTCTAGTTTGGATCCTTCTAGTTCAAATCTTTCTGTGACTTGCTTGATAATGATGGCATGTTGCTCTACATTGGAAATTGTATTGTCCCACATCCTGACCTTGTTGGATTGCGTCACATTGATAGCACCCGGTGCCAGTCTGTTCAGGTGGCTCCCATAAATAGATAGAGTTTGCACACTCAGAATGGTGATTCCATTGCTTTGCACATTCATCAGGGTAGAGTTTTGGATGAGAATGTCTGTGGCATCAAACAGGCTGAAGGAATTATTCTGCACAGTTGGGATCAAAACACTATTTAGCCAGACAGACTTGACTGACAGATACACTGCTGAGGAATCCAGTTCTGATATATTGACACGGTCAAAAATAAGTTCTTGGAGGGGGCGACTTTTACTTCTCCAAAGACTCAGAGGTTTGAGTGCTAAAGCTGAAATGTTACGGAACTGAAACACTTCCAACCTTGGTATTCCATAGATGAATTGTCGATTCAGAGTGACTTGATTGCAGTGTTCCACTTTGAGCTCATGGATATTGTATACTTTTGCAGTGGTCTCCATGTTCAACTGCAGTATATACCAGAGATTTACACTGACTTATTTTGGCATTCTAGCCATTTTCATGGTATAATTTAATGAAGGAAAGATAACTCACACTTGTTGGTTGGCCAAGTGCTATGCAGTTACAGGTGATGGAGGTTGCATTCACCATCTGACATTTCTGCATCATTGAGTGAATTTGGATCCTTTGGATGTCCATTGCAAGACTCAAAGATAAGTAGAAAATGAAAATTGTTATGGCAATGTTGGGAAACTGTGACATGATGGAAGCCCTTTTAGGAGAAAAATTACTGCAGTAACCACACAGGCAGGTCCTCAGTCAGTGTATCAGGGTTTCCTCTTCCTCTTTTGTTTTGATAAGAAAATGGAGGAAGAAGCAACATCCTATGATATGCCCTCAACACCCATTTCCTGTGATTCCCTATTCAGGAAATGATGAATGGGTGGCATATGATGTGTGATTGCAGGTCCCAAAGGTGAGCCTGATGAAAGGAGGTGCCCAGGGGATGGCAGCAGCATTGCAAGGGGCAAAGGCAGTTGGAGGTGGAGGTCCAACTATTGTGAAACTGGTCACTGGTCAAGCACAAGGAAACCAACAGCAGCAGCAGCCCATCATCATTGGATCCAACATTGCTGGCCAGGGTGGAGTCGCACGCGTCGTGAGCGCTCTGGGGAAGAGTGCCACTGTGGGAGGGAAGCAAGCGATTGTGATCGCCAAGCCCGGTACTGGTGTCACTGGGTCTCCTGGAGCCACTCAAGTTCAGAGGGCTTTTGCTGTGACTCAGGCTGGGCAGCAGCAAGGACAGCAAGTGCAAGGCCAGCAGCAACAGTCTCCACAACAGCAGCAGGTCATTGTTGTATCATCTGCTGGTGCACTTCGAAATGTCCCTGGTTAGATCCTCTCAGCATCCTTTCTCATGTAACCTTCCTCTTTGGGTTGACAATTGCAAGACACTTTTACTCCCTACCAGCTGGTCAAGTGATTTCAACTTCTGGTGGAATGAAGATGATTGTGGTATCCTCTGGAAGTGGGAAGCCATTTGCCCTGAATGTTCCCAGTCAGGGGGGAGGAACAAAGACCTTGACCTTGGCAAAGTCAGGCCAACAGCTGCTGGGCACATCATCTGGTCAATTTCTTGCCCTTCCAACTCAAGGTGTTCTCACATCTGCTTCTGGACAGGTAAGAATGACCTGCCCTTGTAATGTAAATTATGCCTTAAAGAATGCCATCTGTTGTCTTTGTATGACTATGCTTGCTTCATGCTCTTGCTTGGCTGCTTATAGACCATCACATTGGGAGGGAAGCCAATGGCTGTGCAGGTGGCAACTGCAGGAGGGCCAAAGACTGTTGCACTAGTGTCACCTCAACAGGCTCCAGCATCACAAGTTAGCATGCCATTTTGCTTCTCTGCATATTTAAAAAAATTCCCAGTGATTCCCAATCCCATGGGAAAAGTTTTAGCTAAAGGTTCATGGTCAATTGTCTTTCATTTTAAGGTGAATGTGACCCAGCAGGCCCTGGACTCAGCAATGGTGGTCCTTCAAGGGCAAGAAGGGGCTGAACAAGGATCAGGAGCACTGCAGATCCAGCCATCGGCATCAATGGTTGGAGGAGGAGATGGCCCTGCTACCACAGATGCTGCCCTGGCAGCCCTGGCAGCTGAGGCTGGACTTCTCGAACCAGAAACAGGGGCAGAAGAGGGAGGTGGAGAAGCAGATGGGCTGATAGGGGAAGTTCATGAAGAAGGTGGGAATGCAGAAGCAGAAGGAAATGTGGGTGAGGTGGCAGTGAGCCAGGTGGATGGCATCATGGAGATTCCACAACTGGATGGAGCATTTGACATCATTCAGGTTGATGGACCTGGTGAGGAAGCTGATCATTTGATTAGTAGCTCTACCTTTCGTCACATCGTTATCAATGGGATGCATGTTTTCTGAACACTACAACTAATATTCAGAAGTTTCCCTACTCTTGTTCATCTGAGAACCAATATTCCTTCCCTTCTAGTTAATTTTTTTTTTTGGCACTGTGTGAGACAGAGATGGATGGCTAAGATAACTTGCTGTGGTTAGGATGATAGAACTATTGACAAACATTTTGTTATTTATTGTCAGTACATTTGAAGGGATTAGTTAATCACCACTGCTGGATATCTGCTGCACATACATTTAGTGAAACTTTGATTATGTAATAGACTTGATAGCAACAAAATTATATTTATGTAGTGCTGATTTGTGAAAGTTTTGTTAGCTCTTTCTGAACACATTCAGCCTTCATGCTTTGACAATATGCACAAGGACTTTCTTATTATAATTAGGAGATGATGAAGGTGGGGAAGAGGAGACAGGGAATGCAGCAGGAGAGAAGGAAGGTGAAGATACTGCCACCCACCATGCAGATCCCCTTGCCGAGGCCGAGTATCCAGGACAAGATCTGACTGGAGAGCAAGAAGATGATGCTGCTGGTATGGGCCACAATGCCTTTCCTTTAGCTTCCAATGCAGAGAGGATGACTATTTAGTTATTTGATTGTTTCTACATGATTTTTCCATTCCTAAATTAGTGCATTTTTGTAGGCGAGAATATCATTATATAAGGATATGTAGTAATGTGAAAACCAATTTTCAATGGGTTTCCCTTTCTTCGACCCTCCCCCCACCCTCCCCCTCTCTTTATGGGACTCACTAATGTTAGGCCTAGGCCTAACCAACAGACTGCCTTCAGGTTACCTTTTTCCTTGCAAAAGAAACTCAATTTCATTGGGACGTGGAACTTTAGGCCTATCTGGAGTTCCTCGAACCATCTCAAATAGGTCTGAGTAGAGAATGCCTTCAAGAAGCATGCAATCCATGGCATGTGCCATCCTGTCAATTCAGAGATGTGTGGATAAAATATCTACATATCACATCACATCGATCAATCACTGCTAACCACTCATTTTTAACCCCCTTCATTTTTAACTCAACTCATGAACTCGGCATGAAAATGTATCATACATTAAAAAACAGAAGATCCAGATGCCAACACGAAGGTTGAAACAGTCTTGAATCTGGCATAATTTCGGCACCGTATCCGGCAACACTGGGGGATGGTACCAGAGCAAGAACTCTAAGCCTAATTGAATGACAGCTTATTCGTTTTTTTAATGATGGAATGGAGCACTGCAAACCACAAAAAAGCCACTTTTTCTCATCTATGAGTCCATATCTTTCTTATTGTTGGTCTCTTTCCTCCGAAACCTCCCCAAGAGTGGCTACAGAATGAAATTCACATCCTCCAAAAGCAAGATTCAGTGTTCTCCCCAACCCCAGGGAGATGGGGCCTTAAATTTGCTGGAGCGATTCTGTGGTGAGAGAGGAAGAAGTATGCCAAATTTTGTTCTTGTTAATGCTCTTGGAGAAGAATACGAGGAAGTTGAATTGTTGAAAATGAAGTTGAAAATGTGGCGGGAAGGGTTTGAAGAAAGGTAATAGGTGCTACCGTGCTTATTGATTGTTTCTCTTCATTTAAATGACATTTATCTGGTACAAGAGAGGGATTTGGTTGTGTAAGTGTATTTCTCATTTCATCTTCTTAAGGAAAAGGTTGTTCACTAGAAGGTCTTGCAGAGTGCAAAAGCCTCACTTCTGTTTTTATGGCAGCATCGTAGATGGTAATGTGTGATATGTTTTAGTGGCCATTGCATTGTGTTATGGATGCACCGATCCAAAGTATCTGTATCAGCTGATGCCTATATGGCCGATTCTCCCTTCCCGCGCGCCGTACTTGATGCACAGCGTGTAAATTTTTGGAACATCTCGTGAAAAAACCATACTCTTAATGGCATTCGGTTCCTTATGTCCATCATAGTTCTTTTTAATCTCCAACTGATAGACAATGAGCTTGAGCGTGGTTAAAGCGGAATGCGAGAGATTTGAAAAGGGCATTGTACGAATGGAATGGGCCAGTCTCATTCGCGTACGCATTCATTCCTTCACTTTCCCCCTTCCATCCCATCTCCTGCCTTCCTGCGCTGACTGGTTTGCACAGGTGTACCTTGTGCTCACGTCCATCCCACCTCTGGCTCTCCCCTTGAGCACCGATCCCGGTTGTACAATAGTTGCATCAACTCCCTAATCCCCTAATGACATTAGATGTAGCTTCTACCTCTACTTCTCTTCGCACTGATCATCCTTTGTACTTAGTACTTATGTCCGATGTATTCTCAGCGGGCCTGGTGAATGGCGGGAGAAGTTTTGGCCTATACTCAAGAAATATATATTGCCAACGTAAATGTCTCCAAAGCTAAATAAATGACAGGAACTTTGAGTGTTGGGTCATTAGTTTCGATATTTTATTTATTCCTTTCTATGCCGAAGGTAGCATAAGGCCTACTAAGGTATCGGTATCGGCTAATCCTGGTTCGGTGCATCCCTAATTGCTATAGACCTTTCCAGAGTAGCCAAACTCGTATCCCCTTGTTCCACTGTGTATCCTCATGGAGTGTGAGGCTGTGGCTATGTTTATCAACTTATTCACATGAGAGGTTCATGAGGTAGAAGGATATCACCTGGTTGTGCAAGTGTTAGATTGCCCAGACTTTGACCTTTGATCTTGAATGCTCCTCTAATTCCATTTAACATATGTTAAGCATGTTTTTCCTTTTAACTCATTCATCAATTGATGCTGCCTAGAAGCAGAAATAATTCCAAGACTCTGGTCTTGTGCCTGCTGTAACATGAAAGATGGGATGGATCTCTTGCATAGTTGAAACCAAGAGAGAGGATGGTGATGAAGGAAGGGAGGATGACAAGGAGAAGGAGGTAGGAGGTGAAGAAGGGAAGGAGAAATCGGAAGATCCACTGGCAACCCTTGCATCAGCTGCCATCAGCACTGCTCCATCTGCTCCTGCATCCAATCTGTCTTCTCCAATCATCAATGGAGTCCCTGGAAGTGCACATATTCCCAATGCCAATCACATCCCCTCGTCTTCTCCTACAAAGGTAGGTCTTGCTGTATCACTTGGCTCCTACAGACCTGGAAAACTCAGGACACTAGCACTGTGGTTTAAAAGTTAGAGAGATTGGCACAGTTACTGTAAGTATGGGAGAAGTTAGGTAAATTTGTGACACCCCAGTTTTAGTCTAATGTAAAGGAATTGAAGGAGGTGAAAGGTAGAAGTTATGAACTAAATACACTTTTTTGGCATGAAGTATCTTCAAAGGAAGATTCTCGAAAAAATCAGGCTGCATTGTTTTTTTAAGTTCTAGTGAAAGCTTTATTTCAGTCATTGTGTGATCATTGAAGATTCTCGACATGATTGCTACATGACTTCTCTATCACATTCAAAGATGGATGACCAAGACAAGAAAGATGAGGTTGGGGTGAAGGAGGAGGAGGAGGAGGAGGACTATGGGCACTGGTACGACATTGGGATCGTCCGAGGAACAACATGTGTTGTTCAGAGCTATTACGTTCTCCCCCCGGGACTCCAGATGCCTGAGATCGATGCCGAAATTGATCTTGAGCAGTTTGGCTTACAAAAGGTGGATCTGGAACCAGGAACTGCATACAAGTTCCGTGTTGCTGCACTCAACTCAGTTGGGAGGAGTGCATGGAGCGAGGTGATTTTTGCTCTTGCTTTCCTTTTCATTTCATAAACCTTTTCTGTGATAGATTCAAGGTAAACAATTATATATCATATGTCCAGGTCTCAGCATTCAAAACATGCATCCCTGGCTTCCCTGGAGCTCCATGCTCTATCAAGATCAGCAAGTCTGGAGAAGGAGCGCATCTTTCATGGGAACCACCACAAAATCCAGCTGGAATCATTGTGGAATACTCAGTGTACCTGGCTGTGAAGAGTGCATCCACTGGCGTGCAGGTAGAATCAGTAGATAACAGTAGGTTAAGTAGTAGGAAATGTGAAAGGTCATGAGGAAGCAAGAAAATCCAAAACTTTTTTGTTCAATGAAAGGAGGTACAGGATGTGATGAAACACAGTTGGCATTCCAATGCAATTTCCTGTAATTCATTTAGGTGTATGCTTCAACAATTTGCACACAAGCACAGATTTATATATCATTGCTTAATGTAGGGTGATGGGAAGACAGTGCAGAGTAACCCAAGTCAACTGGCATTTGTGCGAGTGTATTGCGGGCCCCACAACTCATGCACAGTCCCCAATAGTTCCCTCACCTCGGCTCACATCGACATGACCACGAAGCCAGCCATCATCTTCCGGATTGCAGCTCGGAATGACAAAGGATATGGTCCTGCCACCCAAGTCAGGTGGCTTCAAGGTATGTTCAACCCTTCTTACATTTGTCACATCTATTCACCCTAGCCCATGCATGTAGGGCTAGGAGAGGCATCCTTCCATTGTAAGGAGATTGGTCTATTATTGATTTCAAATTTGTGTCAAGTCATGAAAGAAATCATGAAGCATCTGAATTGCTTTGTGTTTGGAAGAAAGTAAAATAAAATGTTGAGAGGTAGTCTTCTCATAATTATGCTTTGGAAATTTTGTGTTAAAATGTCCTGGTCCCTCTGAGCATCAGGGAGAGCTATTCTGGCTACAGGACTGTTACAAGTGAAAATTGACGAAGTGGAGGAATACATTCCATTGTAATGCATCTCTCTTGTCATAGATGCCAGCAGCCAAGCAGCAAAAGCAGCAGCCGCAGCTGCAGCTGCTGCTGCAGCCACGTCTGGAGGTACGAAACGTGCCATCCCTGGTGGCATGACGGGAGGAGCGAGCAACAAACGCCTCAAGGTTGATGCTGACTTGTAAACAAAAACTGGATCCTTCTGTCTGATCTCTTTGACTCATCGGCTTCTTTCTCCCCTCGTCTTGGAATGGTTCCGTCTCGTTGAGAGAGCACCGGTAATCGAACGAGAGAGAGATGGCAAGCATTCGCCTCCCTACTTCCAAGTACAAAAATGAAAATTTCAGATTTGATGTTCTCTTTTTCCATTTTTTCTTTAATTTTTTGTTTATTCCATGTCCTGTATGTTGGTTCACATGCATAACTGAGAGAGAGTACTGGTTGGTGTATGCGAGAGACTGAAGATGCTGAATGAAATTGAGCAAGTTGTGGTCCCCTTTCAGTCTGGACTGTCACTTCATGTTCTCTGACCTGCATCTTTGACCTATGTGCGCAGTGCATCGTAAGCACTATTTGAAGGCTGTTCTGGTGTCAATACACTGATAGTTTTCTATTCTCATTTTTTTTGTTTTCTTTCATTTTGTGAAAATCTTGCAGAAAGTTGTGAAAGGAGTCCTATTGGACAGTGAGAAGGTTGAGTTAGAGAATTTTCTAGGCATATATGAGTTTTATCTTTGTTACCACTTCTCAAACCCAGAATCACAGAATGCATTTTGTTGTTATCACATCATCAACCTTAGAGGCAATTAAGTTATTGAGCCTAATTTTGACATTTCACAAGAACAGGGAAAAATACTGATGCACATTGGAGTAGTACTCTGTCCCACCCATGCATTATGAATTGGGCATCCTATCAAAAATAAAAGTCCAACGTTTGGGCGATGCCATTCGTCGAAAACGACTTTGTAACTGGAGATCTGGTGAGTGGCTTTAGGAGGACGATGCTTTGATCCACTGATGGCACTACGTGGAATTTTTTTTTCTCTCCCGCGCCTGAAGTCTCTCACCTGAAAAGTTGTTTTTATGGCATTGAGGAGGTGCAAGCTACCGCAGCACTCAAGGTGGTTGCGAAAAATGGACTACAACCCTGTTTCATACAACTGTATGACGGAGGTAAAAGTGTGTGACTACCCAAGGGGACTGAAGAAATCATATCCTTGTACCTCACGCTTGACTGGCCCTCGTATATATGAGTTAGATTAAATTCAGTGGCGTAACTAGGTAATTTGGCGCCCCCTTCCAATTTTTATTCACATGCACACACGTTTTACTGGGGAATGAGATTTATTAAATATTTCTGTTATTCAGAACTGCTTCTCAGCACAAATAATGTAATCGAAATCAATTCTTACAAACGACTGCAATCAAAATTCAGCCCATCTTGATTTACTGGTTGCAAAATCTTTAATAACTTCGCTGAAATCGATGGAAGAAGCTACTTGACGTTCGATTGACAGGATAGCAAGATTTGTAAGCCTTTCTTGAGACATTGTAGATCGCAGGTACGACTTAATCAGCTTCATTTTGCTGAAAGATGACGTTTGCTGCCCTCTGGACTGTGGCGCCCGGGGCGACCGCCCCACTTGCCCCCCCCCCCCCCTAGTTACGCCACTGATTAAATTGATTGATCTTAGCCACTTTCGGTATTGGGTTATCCAGACACGGGTAAGAAGCAGTTTGAGTTCGTTTTCGGTAAAGTTAGTTGTTTCTTTTAAAACCAATTTCAAATTTGCTTATGCAAGTGGCTTAGGATTTTCCATTGGCAATGGGTAATACATGGCGACAGAAAATGGTTCATAGAGGATTCCCGCATTCTCACGCCATTTCGACGAATACTGGAACTCCCTAAAGAGGCACGTCTAGCTCCTAACCGCTTCATCCAGCCGATTCTCAATATGCCTCAAATGACGATCCAACCCTCGCGCCGAAACATTTCGGACACTCCCACAGGGCAGTTCTAAAGTTACTGACGTAACACCAAACTCAAATGAAATCATGTATGATGATATATCGTAAAGATGGTTTGGTCCAGAAATTCTAATTCAGCAGCGCCTAATAGAGCATAGATGCCTCTACCTATTCCGATCAAAATTGTCTAATTTCTCCCATGGATGAAAAAATGTAAGGCCATTCATGTCGTATTACTGACGTAACACAGTTTAGACAACGCTTTTCGTTCTGCTGCTTCCCTTCCAATTTTGTCTAATTGGGCTTGACATGAAGCTTCCATATTTTCAGAAAGAAGACATAGACCACCTTTCTTCATGCCTAGTGACTTTTTTTTTGCTCAAAAATGGATTGGCTAGGAGAGTTTTCCAGCGTTACAGACGTAACGTATCAGCCAAAAAGCGAGATTCACCAAGCAAGTATTAAATTCATTCAAATGGAATGATGCAGGAGTGATGAAAACCATCCCACTCCAGGGTATGAATGTTTAATGGTGCCTATTTGGTCAAGGTTTAGTACCCATACAGTGCGGAAACGTAAGTTGGGTGACAGTTTTGTAAATCGCTTTTTTACCACTTTTGTCCCAATTACTCTGGAACTGCCCTGCACATCGAGAAAAACCCGAAATCTTCCATACGACCGGTGATGTCAGCCGTCGTCAGAAGCTTCCTTCGTTCAACCTCCACCAATGGAGTCGCGAGGAGGCCTTCAGCTAGTATAAATACATCTTCCTCCTCCTCCTCCTGCAAAAGCCTGGATACGCCGCTGGTCCTTGGCGCCTAACCTTTCATCAATAGATAGGGCTCCAAGAGCGGTTCTCACATCAATTAATAATTGTCTTAAAATAATTTAATGATCCATCCCTGCTCATTTCGTAAGCTACTCAACAAGGAAAAGCACGATCGACTCTTTCAGATATTCTATTTGCCTTTGAAAAACGCTGCAACGAACCCAGGACGTCGGAAAATGAAATTGAATTAATTGAATCCAAGAAAGAAAAGCCATGACGGCCTTCATGAAACCTAAACTCAGCATTCGTTGGTTGAATGAGGTTCGCGGGAGTGCCTCAGACTGCAGCGATTCCTCTCTGACGCCACTGCCGCTTCGGCGATGGTAAGTTATTGCTAGTTACGTTTTATTGAGGAACCTTGTTTTAGTTTAATAAGAATGGTCAGTGGCGTAGGCAGGAAATCGGCAAGGGGGGGGGGGTTGAGACCAGGTAGACACCCCAACCCTACGCCGAGCTCCACTACCCGGAATATACCTTTTCAAAGAAATCATGGTCTGGCATCTTGGGTCTGTGGACGGACATCAGACTTTCCTCGAAGGGGCATAGCTAAAATTGGAATTCCCAAGGAAAGTTGAAATTTGCCTGTCAGTGACACCCTCTAAATCCCCCCCTTCCCTACGCCACTGAGAATGGTTACTCGTTGCTCATTGTGACGCGCTGGCATGTTACGGGTGGAGTATGAAGTTTTTGAAGTGGACCGTAGAACATGGAGAGGGGAGTGGTGAGAGACCGTGGCTAGTGTGATGCAGTGGGCTGCTATAGCTATGGTTACCATATTTCGGACTGCCAAAAAGAGGATGCTTAGAAGTTGGATGGAAATTTGATGGCGATAAAGGCGGACATATCCAGGGAAAATATCCAGACTTATAGTAACCCATAGAAGCCTTCCTCCCTGACGGAAAGCTTAGAAAGAGAACATGTCCGGGAAAAACCGAATGTATGGTAACCTCTCAGCAAACAATTTGAAACACATAATGTTGAATCAGCGTTGAATCAACATTGAATGAACGTTCGGAACGTTGATATAACGTTGATCCAACGTCACCTTGTTTGCTGGGCTTAGTCCTCAGTGCTTCTCAACCTTTTTAATTTCACGGCACACTTTCGAACTTGTTCGATCCTCGCGGCATACCGAACCAAACTTCACAATGTCAATGTGAATAATATTTTCATCGCCCTCTCGTCAATTCGACCGACGTTCGTCGGTCGTAGCTTGAGAATAATGAAACACAGTGATTTTCTTTATTTTCCTATAATCCTGAAAATACCACGGCACATCAGGCACCGGTTGCGAAGCACTGCCCTAGCTATAGCGTTTGCGTCTCGTTTTCCCTTTCTGTTCACCTGTGATCATTACCCGTAGATTCTGGTAAACAATATTTTGAGTTTTCACGCCACCGACGCCCCCCTGACTATTTAGATAAAATACGTCAGTGTGAGAGGCTCGCCTGGCAACGACCTTGACTCCCGCTGCATGGGACTCCGGTCTGACACCGGTGCCTATCACCACATTTGAGCCCCGGCTCGAAGGGAGACCCGGAGTACTCCACTTCTCCCGCCTAGGGTCATCGAAGATGCCCGAAGTCCCTGTCCCTGATTAGCCGTGTCTTTACAGGGTGCCTCGTGACCTTTTGGCGAGCTTGAAACATGGGATGGTACAGTAAGAAAATATCTTCAAAATCTGGAAAAATTTGCATATCTGCAAATTGATGTCAAATGGAAGCCTTTTCAATTCTACATTAATTTGTCTCTCTTAATTTCATATGAAGGGCTGGGCCAATCTATAAAAAGACAATTGAATTAGCTGCATTCATCAACGGAGGTCAAACCGTCGTTCTTTCGTATCATTAATTGGACCTGTCATTTTGTCCAAAGCGAAAATAGAGCGAGACCAATGCGGAATAGAATAAGCTGAAATTAAATGCACAATTTGCAGGCACTGTGAAATGGTACCCCCTAGCAAGAGATTATGAGGCCCCCTGAAGAAAAAAGAAATGTTATTTTCGCATTCTCGCCAGCAGTGGGGGTCGTTAAAAATAAGATTCAATCGCAATAAGGATTGGTAAACGACCCTGGTGGCCTGTCACATGTTCCCCGTTGCCAACATGGCCGTGCACGATCCCGGGAACAGGCGAGAGGAAATCTCTGAAATCTGAGAAACTTATGTGAAGTTTTTTTCCAAATTCCACCGTGACTTTGTCCATTAGCCATCCTCACCAGAGCTAGTGTAGGCCTACGGTCGGCCTAGAGCCTTCACCATGCCTCGATTTTCTCGATTCCTCGGCAGATGGCCTCGATTCGTCAGAGTTTGAGGCGATGTTTGGCGTCGGGCTGCTTCACATCGCCCCGCAAAGGTAGCAGGGACGTCCAGCCCTTCATTCCGAGGCGTACGTCCGCAGTGGACAGGCATTCCCAGACGAGGTTTTTCTCGGTCGTGCACGAGAATGTGGAGCATCTCACGTACCTCGAAGTTAGTTGAAGCTCCATTTCGTGGAGTGTGTAGGTCTAGGCCTGGGAATCGTCGTCTTTTTCAATATTTTATGTGGTTGGTGCATGAAGACATTTGAAATTGTGTTCCTCACTTTAGTCAGTACTTTTTAAATATCTTGACTCATATAAGATGCCATGAATTACCCAGTGTATGTGTTTTACTGGAAATTATGTGTACTTGTGATGGAACAAATATTTCCTGAAATCATGTAAAGTAGGTAGTTTCAAACAGTATCCTTGTTTGTTTTTTTCTGGGATATAAACAATGATTACAATTTTTGTATATTCAAAAAATGAAGAGTAGGTTGAGATTTTAACTTCTGACTAATTAGAATCATATCAGTGGTATTATTTTGAAGTCTATTGAAGGACTCTGTTTCAAGGACTAAGGCCTATATCCTTCATATGGAAGATCTTAAGGAAGATTTTTTGATCCATTCTGACTTGTTTTAGTGTCCTTTTTTTTATTGAGAAAAGAAATTGCTAAGTTCATGCTTTAAATATTCTATTTTCCATTAGTTGAACTAGCTGGGTTGAAAAAAGAAGAAGTGATTGCTAAGAGAATGGTATGCCAACTGAATAGCACTGCACAATCAGTAACATTTTTTAATATATATATTTTTTTATAGGGTGAAGACTCACATCCTGCAGCTAAGTATGGAGGGAGATACCAGGTCACCATGCTACCTGGTGCTGGGATTGGACCTGAGATGATGAGGCATGTGAAGGACGTTTTTCGGTCAGTTTCATGCTGAAGCACTTCTGGCCATTCATGGCAAAGTCAGTGATGGAAGGGTCACTCATGGTTCTCCTTTTTGACACCATGTTTTAGGCGCTTTTTCCTTGCAGGTATGGAGGAGTTCCAGTGGACTTTGAGGAAGTCATCATTGACACATCCAAGGAGAACTTTGATGACGTGAAATATGCCTTGACATCCATCAAGAGGAATGGTGTGGCTCTTAAAGGTAGAAGAACATGAATTATGACTCCTTCCCAGATCCCATAATGCTTTTCCATCACAAGAGTTCACTCATTCTGGCAGCAAATATCGAGACGCACAGGGAAACCATGGGTACTCTATCTAGGAATGTTTTGCTCCGAACAGAGTTAGATTTATTTGCTCAAGTGGTTCATTGTAAGACATATCCAGGCATCCCTGGATTGAAACATGACCCACTGGACATCATGATCTTCAGACAGAATACAGAAGGAGAGTATTCTATGCAGGAACATGAGGTGATTTCTGTTTCTACTGTGCATAATATCTTGTCCTTTAATTTTGAGCTGGTGGTGAGAATGGTAGAATTTTTTTTTCTCCCTGCAGAGTGTGAAGGGTGTAATAGAGAGCTTAAAAGTGATCACAGAGGAAAATTCTCGCCGTTTGGCCCGCTTTACCTTCCAGGCTGCCAAGAGAATGGGAAGGAAGAAAGTTACTGTGGTGCATAAAGCCAACATCATGTATGTTGAGATTGATAGTGCCTTAAAAAAAACATGTGTCTGGCTTTGCTTAAAATTTAGTTCTCCCTTGGTCCTCAGGAAGCTTTCAGATGGTCTGTTCCTGAGAACATGTCAGGAAGTTGGTGAGGAGTTCCCTGAGATTGAGACTGCTTCCATGATTGTTGACAATTGCTGCATGCAGTTGGTGAGCAATCCCAAGCAGTTTGATGTTCTCCTCATGCCAAATCTCTATGGAGCTGTGGTGACAAATATCATCTGTGGGCTGACTGGTGGTCCAGGCCTCTTTTCTGGATGGAATTATGGTGACAGAGTAAGACTTGTATGATCTATCTGATTTCACCCAATCTGGGACTTTTTTATTAAAAAATTCTCACCCAAGTCTATACTTGCAGTGTTCAGTATTTGAAACAGCAAGTCGAAATGTGGCAGTGGAACTTGTTGGGAAAAATGTTGCCAACCCTGTGACAATGTTGAATGCTGGTGCTGACATGTTGGACCACCTGGGCCTGGAGAAAGATGCAGCCAGGATACGCTTCTCCATTGCACACACTCTCAATGAAGATAAAATCCACACCCCAGGTGAGAAAGGGACTTATTATTGGCCTTTGATAATTCTGTAATGTAAGGGCTGCAGGAAGGGAAGGAACGTAAATATGAAAGTATGAGTAATTCCATATTTCAGACATGGGAGGAAGGGCAACTAGTACAGAATTGGTAGACAACATCATTAGAGTTCTCCAGTCTACTATGGAAATAAATCTCAGGTGAGAGTCACTTTTTCAGTCCTTCAGAAGGATGGCTGTTGACCCACAGTGTCTTCAGAAATCATGCCATGCAATAAAGAAAGGGGCAAAAGTCTCTTCCTTATGAAAGTATGGAGTTGACTGGATGCCATCTGTATTGCTTTCATGCTGCTGGGAAGGACTCCTCGTGATTTTGATGGGTGATTTTCCCTGGTTCGTTCCCCTTATATTGATCCCCCATCCTCACTTTTCACCCTCCAATCCACATCCTCATCCTCAGATGTGCTCTTTTTGCACCCTTCAATGTCTAGTCTAGAGAAAAGGAAATAAAGTGGAACCTGTCTGAGAACCAGCTGTTGTGTTACATCTGAATTAGTTCCAGCCAGAGAAGTGTATGAGAGGCATGAGATTGGCAGACTCTCATGGCTTGGGGCATTGGTTACCCATTTCTCTTTCCTCACTTTTGAGCTTCAACACAAGGTGTGAATCCTTAACTATCAAGGAATGCAAGCATTGTAGGCCAACTTTGATGTAAAGTCATTGCCTCATCAGATGTGAGGAGGTAAATACACATGGACTTGAAAGTGATCTTTTCAGGGTGCTGTTGAGGGAAACATGACTGTGCCAGCTCCTAGTTCACAGTGCCAAGTCACTGGTCTTCTATCTGGTATGTGTTGATCCTCCTGCATTCTTTTTTCATTCACTTATATTGTAGAAGAGCTTTAAGTCTTATCACTGATTCAATCAAGAATGTGTTGAACAAGGTTTTTCTTGGATTTTTCAACATGTACAATGTCCTGTAAATCATGTTGGAGATGGCTTAGATTCATGCATTCAGACAAAACTTCACACCTTTTTTATATTTGATGAATGATTGAGTTTACCTCTGTTTTGGCTATCAAGGACTATAACAGATTTTAGAAATACTCAAATCAACAATGCTTAACTAAAGGGTTTTGTTAGCTGTAATGGAAATTCTTCCATGTGATGTTCAGGTCCAACCCAAGAAAACATTTCAGTTTTTCTTCTGATGTCCAGCATTGACATTGCGGAGGGTGGAGCCAGTGGGACGGTGCTATGTGAGTCACAGTCGTTTGCAGAGTCATTCTGCTCCTAATGGAGATGCCAAACCCTCACCTCGTGTAAAAAACCAAGAAACTAAAGATCTTGTTATCGAGGATGATCTTGACTATTTGAGGAGCCTGGATCCCAAGAACTGGAAGGTAAATTTTGATTTTTCCTTTTATCAGTCTCAAATGGTCTGTGTGAAGAGTCATTGTGTCACAGGACCAGGATCATTATGCCGTGTTGGGGCTCAAGTCACTGCGAATACGAGCCACTGATGAGGACCTCAAGAAAGCCTGTAAGCCTCTGCTCTTGCTTTTGATCTTAAGGCTCTTCAGATTTTTAAGATCTCTTGTATGTGACTGCAATTGCTTGAATGATTTTACCCACCAATAGATCGGCAGAAGGTTCTGAGGCATCACCCTGACAAACGACGGGCTGCAGGGGAGGAAGTGCTGGAGGATGATGACTATTTCACCTGCATCACCAAGGCATATGAGATATTGGGGAATCCCATAAAACGCATCTCATATGATTCTGTCGATCACACATTTGACAATTCCATCCCCTCTGTCAGTGCTTACAACAAAGAGCACTTTTTTAAGGTGCAATTCCTGTTGCAATGTTCTCAAATTTGTGCTTTTCATGTTGAGAATGAAAAGACACTATCAATAATATGAAGCATTCAACATTCCTCCCACCTAGGTATTTGGTCCTGTGTTTGAGCGAAATAGTCAATGGTCTATTAGGGAACCAGTTCCTAGGCTAGGACAGGAAGATTCCAGTAGAGATGAGGTGGAAGATTTCTATGCCTTTTGGTATGACTTTGAGTCCTGGAGAGAGTATTCCTACTTGGATAAAGAAGAAAAGGAAAAGGGGCAAGAGTGAGTATCATCTCTTTCTATATATGAATATATTACCTTGTTTTCAACCAAAGTTCACATTTTTTATCACTTGGGTTCATTCCCCATGTAAAATTATGAAGGTGGCAATCAGGAAAAACTCTACCTCTACTGTGCATCTTAAAGTAAAATGAGATAATGGCCAAATGAATTTAGAAATTCATTAGTAAGGTGCAAGTAGGTGTGATTTTAATCATGATAACACTGTTGTCCAGTCGAGAGGAACGTCGGTGGATTGAGAAGGAGAACCGAGCAGAGAGGAAGCTGAGGAAGAAGGAAGAGATGAGTCGAATTCGGAAGTTGGTGGATGCAGCATATGCATGCGATCCTCGTATCATCCAGTTCAAGGAAGAAGACAAGGAGAAACGAGCTGCCACAAAAAGGGCCAAAGCTGAGGCTGCTCGACTCAGGCAAATTGAGGAAGAACAGAGACGTAAAGACTTGGAAGAGGAGGAACAGAGGAAGAGAGCAGAGGTGGAAGCAGTAGAGCGAAGGAAGAATGAAGAACGCAAGAAAGAGAAGGAGGCAATGAAGAAGGCATTGAAGAAGGAGAGGAAGAATCTGCGGGGATTTATGAAAGATCACAATTACTTTGGAGACTCTGATGCTGATGTTGTTAATCACATGGCTGAGCTTGACAAGCTCTGTGAAGTCCTTTCACTTCAAAGGTAATCTCATCTCTTGATGCACCTCTTCCTCATCAAGGAAACCTCAAACTATGTTGATCGAATTCACAATCAATCATGTTCTTATTATGAATAGATTAGAGGAACTGAATGAGAAGCTGAGCTTAGTCTCAGAGAATGCTTCAGCCAGGAAGCAGGTGTTCCTTGATGCAGTGAGAGAACTAAATGAGAGGCTTGACAGGGAGAAGCAGGAACTCCTGGATATGGTCCATAAAGCATCAAGTGGGAGCTCAACCTCAGCACACCAGAGACAATGGGATGATGTTGATCTCCAGCTACTCATTAAAGCTGTCAATCTCTTCCCTGCTGGAACCAATCAGAGGTTAGGAAACCAAGTTCTCTTGACAAAAGATGAGATAGATGTGTTATTGATTTTTTTAAATGAAGCATTCAGAGATTTTTGGCCAGGATATGCCCTTTTTGAATACTTTGCATCATGTATCATCAGGTGGGATGTGGTGGCTCAGTTCATCAATCAGCATTCATCTTCTGGTCTGGTGCGAACTGGTAAAGAGGTTTTGGCCAAAGCCAAAGACCTCCAGAAGTCTGATTACTCTAACAATGCTTTACGACAAGCAGCCAATGAAAAGGCATTTGAGAAGCTCCAGAAGGAGACAGCAGGTCGTACAACAACCATTGATGCCTCCCAAACCCAGCGATTTGATAGTATGTTCCTCTTCCTTTATATAGATGATTATTATGCTGGAATCAATAGGAAGATGCTCTTCATAGGTCCTGCAGAGCAGCAGGGTCTAAACCTTGATCCCTGGACACCTGAGGAGCAGAGACTTCTTGAGCAGGCATTGAAGACATATCCAAGCTCAACATCTGATCGATGGGACAGGATTGGTGCATGTATTCCCAATAGGTCTAAAAAGGACTGCATGAGACGATACAAGGTTTGTCTTGTTCCTTGTTTTCTCTTTGGATGCTCAGTGGCCTTTTCCTAAGGTGGAATTCAAATGGTAATATATTGGACAAAGTCTGACCCATGACTTGACACCTTACAATTCATTTAAAAAAAAACCTTAGGATTTTTCATGACATTCATTAGGTGAATCCCAGTAAAGTGACAGTCATTGATTATCTCAACAGGAACTGGCTGAGTTGGTGAGAGCCAAAAAGGCAGCCCAGGCAGGAGTGCAAAATAAGAAGTCCTGACAGATTACAATTTAGTCTCCATGGCTTCATCCTGTGATTACTTGATGGCATTGTGATTCCCCATGTGTCTCCATTGGTTTTGCAGTCTCTCTTCGTCTTCCTTTGCTCTGTTTGTTCCATTTTCTTCATGGGGTTTCCTGTCTGGATAGGCTGACTGAAGAAATAAATCAGTTCCCACTCAAGAAGCATTGGTCAAAGAATTTCTAATTGAAAATATTGTTTCAAATAATGTGCCTGCATCACCAAATGCATAATCCTTTCAAAACTCTCAAGTTTTAAAATCCTCTTAATTAGGGAGGAGTCGGAGGCATAACTACCATATGATCAATTGAGCTGAAATTCCCCTTTGAGCCCATCTGGCTCTGCCCATAAAAGGGCAGCATCTTTTCATTGCAGTCTCTCCCCAAGATAGAATGCCACAAAATTGAAAACAGCCTAGTTACTAAAGTCATGGACAGAAAATTTATTTGCCAACTAATACATAATTTCATCTCTGATAAAATACAGGTTGAAACTTCTCCTGTGGCCTGGAGAAACTCATGCCTCACATAGTGAAGAGTGAGCAGCTGGATTCATCTCTAAGGAGACTGGCTTTTTCCATGCAGGGAACAAGAGTAAACTCCACCTATGATATGGGAATGACTTACTTAAAGTAGATTATTTATTTAATTTTTAGATATAAGGAGTAAAGTCAGAAGGATTGTCATTGTTCTCCACATGGAAAAAGCTTATGCAAATAGTTTCAGTAAATGCTTGTGTTAACCCTTTCAAACCTGAATTAAGGCTGCTACCAAAAAAATATCATTTTTTGCATTTTTGAGCTCTTTTGTGATTGTAATAGAAAATTTCATGCTTTCTATGTTGTTTTCATATTTTTTTATTATAAATTTACCATATCATACCATATATATTATACATTTAATTAAATAACTGAAGATTACAAAACTAATGGGTGAAAGAAGACATCTGATGGAACTGAGCCATGCATAATTGCACCATTGTAACGTAATATGGAGCGCAAAGTCACAAGAATCCTAAGAAATTGCCATAGACACAATGTAAAGGCAATGTCCATTGGAATGGACGCCAGGTCTGAAAGGGTTAAGATCCTACTTCAGCCAAGATGCTCAGCAGGTCACAGGAAATTTTCAGATCTCTGTAAATTACACCAAAAAACTATGAAAACATTTAAAAAATCTGTCTAGGACTTCAGTAGTAGCTTCCAGATACAAAATCATATGAAAATATCTATGAAGTCAGAGTCCAGTAAATTAAATGACAATGACAAATGGCATACATAAAACAGCACCATTACTGGAAGAAGTGTGAGTCAGATGGAACGCATTGCAGCAGGCTCATGAGTGTCTCGAATGCGAGACCACACTGCAGGGAACATGGCTGACACAAGGAGGATGGCAGCTACCTTGGGCCTCAGCCACATCCAAGACAATCCAATAACAAGGAGACTCATGAAAGCAGACATGGAGAAAGCCAGTGACAGTCCATCTCCTGACACCATCTCTCTCATTATAGGGACATGGGGCACTGTGAATTGTCAAGGGAAAAAATGCTTGTTAATTTCAGTTGAAACCAACAAATGGGCCTTTCCTTCATACCCCTTCAATGTCACTCTAATCATATAAACAGGAATATAGCATTGGAGTACCTCTAAAATAGGGGTTTACAATGAGACTTCAGGTCTACAAACTCACAACCAGAAGGGGTATAATGGGACAAAGAAGAAAATAGAAAAGTCATTGAAATTTTGTGAACTTTGGCAAGATAGGAAGTAAAACCTCTTACACTAGTATATCCTTGGTGGTGGCCTTTTTGTTTGCTTCCCTATGTTAAAAATTACCATATTTTATTCAGTGTTCTATCCCAAGACTTAAAAATACATAACCATCCTCCAGGCATTCTGACTTTGCCAAATGTGCTCAGCAAAGCTTATGCAAATAACTTCAACTCACACAGGAGGAGAAGAGGACGTTGGATGAATGATGTACCAAGGAGGATGAGAAAGGAGCCCACTATTCTAAGCACCCATGTGGATGACTTGTTGGCCAGGTGTTCCATGGAGATGAGGTCTTCAAGGCTCATCTGACCCTCATGCAATGAAAATAACAGATTCCCAGACCTTGTCACTGCTGGCACAAGCTCCTGCCCTTCTTGTCTAGCCAGCACACTAACCTGTATACAAAAACCTGATTCCTCTGATAAATCTCATATAGCATTAAACCATCACCAAGAAATCTGTTAATACCATGGAGGGAAGGTGAGGATCTGCAAGACCAGCATAGGAGAACTGGATACGGATGTCTCCAACTCGAGGCTTAAATAAATCCTCACAGTGAAAGTACAGCCCAGCATGCAACTTGATCCTCTGATCTGTGGGCTGTTCATCCCCAGTCAGTGGGTGAAAGTGACCAAACGATCCTTGGATCAAGTGTTGAGAAAGGTGGAAGGCTCCCACATACACATGTGATGCCACCTGGAGCTCTGTTTCCAAAGGCATCTTTCTGGAACATGAAAGCACCAGAGCAATTGTGATGAACATCAGCAGGATGAAGGTGCAAGGGAGGTTCTCCCTAAGTAATTCTCACTGACATGGGATTCTCATGGCCATATCTAAACTGAAAGGCACTGCTGTCAATGAGGCGATCCCTCCAGTCCTGGTCATAGGAATAGGAACTGTGGGAACTGGCATCCTGCTGCTCCTCCTCACTGCCATTTGGAACAAGAAATACAATCCTCAAATGAGACAATTAGAGAAAAGAGCAAACCATTTGAGTTGGTTGGTGCCTGGGCTGACAATAGATTCTCCACATGAGCTGGGAGAAGGTGAAGCCAAGGGCAAAAAAAAACAAACAAAACCTTCAACTTGATTCAAGAAAAATCAGGGCAATCACACAAGGCACAGAAAACTCAGGCAGCCTAATTCATATTAAGTTGGGAGCTAAGGCACTGAAGAACTCAAAAAGTCACAAATGACTGAAAAACCCTGCCACTGATCATAATATAACTGAAGTCTTCTACTCAACTGATAGAATCTTGCATATGCATAGCTGGCATTTATCATAGATTTTGCAAAGAAAGGACTCAAGCCACCTAGAATTGGAGCCCCCATTGTTTCCTTCCATACCTTAGGGCAGTGTAGGAAAAATATATATTTTTCCCCCAAACCAGAGGCAACAAATTGGAATTTCCTGGGAAGGATATGCAAGCGGACTAAGCGGGCTGCCTGCCCGCGTGTCTCCGTTCCCGTGAACCTTGTTTGTAGGGGTTTTCCTAGCCTGCCTTTGGGTAAAATTTTCCCCATGCACTCACTGTCATATATTCATCACTCCACATCACAAAACAAAACACAGGCCCAAGATAAAAGAAGAGTCTCACATTCTATTTTCCACTTCTATCCATTGGAACATTTGTACCCTCCTCCGCAACTTCACTGCTCGAATGGCAACTTTATGCATGGGATCCTCCAAGGGCTCTGGAATGTTCAGCCTCCCAACCACATACACCAACTTTCCCTCATTCACTAGATCAATCTTTGAGGCCTGGATGCGAGTCACATCTGCAAGTCCTTCATCCAGATCCTGAGCTCTCCTGACTGCCTTGTCCTGATGGCCAAGTGAAGCAAGAACCCTCAATGTAAGACCTGAATGTGGATAGGAGCTTACAGTTGTAGAGGCTCACTTCATTCCAGACTTGAATGCCAAGTCCGCCCAGAAGTAAGGCAAATCCCAGGAGTGCTGGAATAGGGGATCTTTTCATATCAAGCCACACCATAGAAAGGCTCCTCCACCATCCCCGTCTCCTTGCCTGTCTTCCATCCTGAACCCAGTTACCATAGTGTTAAATGAGGGAAAGATATGGGGAATTTTCCCTATGCTATTGCTTCCATTTGCCTAAGCAGAAAATAGTGATATCTAGTAATTGTTTTGAATATCCCTTGTGATTACTTATTTGCATATAAATCCAAGGCGATTACAACGCTGTCACTCTCAGCAGTACCCAATGTGTGTGCGTTTCATTATAATGTCCATATCTGCAAACCCTGTTCAAAACCTTAACATTTCCCAATTGATGCAACTATGCTCGATATCGCGAACTGAGAACGTCTTACCTTCTTTCCTGACTTTTTGCCCTCACACACACTTTGTACTGTTCACAAATTCACAGTGTCAGTTATTATCAGCGACTGAACACACAATCGCGAAACCAACTTCAAGAGAAATAGAAAGAGACATAGAGAAATAGAAACAAACCAGCATAACTTCCTCAGTGACTCGTCATCTCCGCCAGAAGAGGGTCGACACCAAAAAAACGCTTAACCGCGATGCCTTCTATGGGATAAGGGCGACTTCCCTCCCCAATGGCATCTCGTCTCTGTTTCCACATTACAGCAACACGACACCGATGAACTCGGGTGGCTGTCAAAAAGGGTCTCCACTTCGATTCTTCTCAGCATGTGGGTACATGCGGTCCTTTTTTTTATATGCAGTGATGCTGACGGCTTCGGTACTGTGTACTGAGAAAAGATAGTAATAAGTTGCCATTAGGAGCAACGATTGAATTTTTATTTTTCTTATTCATGAAACTGACGATTCCAAATACATTTCTCATTAAGTACTTTGGGGGAAAAGTTGACTGCAGTGCAATCTCTGCGTTTGTGAAGGAATCGACATGAACAGCGACAGACCCCTGTCCCGGGATGGCGGCTTACAGTCGTGGACGTGCCATGGCCCATTGGTCGTGTTAGGAGTGGGTTATACGCCTTGCCATGAAGTGTTGAACACAAGATTTAAAATAGGGGGGTGGTCACCAGGTAATGCAAACGGGAGATATGGAGGAAAACTCTCGCTAAGACAAGCCTTGGCACACTCTGTAAATGTGGTGGCAGCAAGATTAATTGCTGCATCTAAGCCCGAGACAGTAATTAAAACTGCCAGAATGATGGGGATAAAAAGTCCTATTAAAAATGATTATACTATTGCCTTAGGCTCATCAGACCTCACCCTTTATGAAATGGTGGGAGCGTTTAGCACCTTTGCAAATGGGGGCTTATATATTAAACCTGAGCTAGTTCTAAGAATAGAAGATAAAAACGGAAAAATACTCAAAGAATATTCTCCCAAGGCAGAGGAAGTTTTTAGTGAAGAGGTGGCTTATACTATGGTGGACTTAATGAGAGGGGTATGTAAATTTGGTACAGCGAAACGGGTAGGAAATACTTTTAAGGCAGATGTAGCAGGGAAGACAGGTACCACAAATGACAACTCAGACGGGTGGTTTATCGGCATTGTGCCACATCTAGCTACGGGGGTATGGGTAGGTGCAGAAGATAGAGCCGCCCATTTTAGGAGTACAGCTTATGGACAGGGTGGTTATATGGCACTCCCCATATGGATTAATTATATGAAATCTGTTTATGCAGATGGTAAAAAACTGGGAGTTACGCAGGACGATAAATTTGAAGCACCAG